ACATGAAGAAAGAAAAAAAAAAAAATGCGAATAAGGCGCAAATAAAAAACAGAAATGGACATGTGCTTTATTCGCTTTGTTTTATAATTGTTTCGGTCTACGTAGCACAAAATCTATACTATCCTCCTTCTTGAAATTAGAAACAAGTGAAGAAAATTTAAATTGACAAGCATAGATTGTACCATTCTAAGCCACATGATGAATGTTTTTGGTAAAAAGCATAACGACTGAAATGCAGGAAATAAAACGTTTCTGTACACTTTGTCTTTATCGATAGGAAATTGTCCTATAAATATGACGCTGGGCACTAACAGGTTAAGCCAAACGTCTATTAGATAGTTTCCTAATAAAAATAATAGCAATGTAAATAGCAAATCTTAAAAATTTTTCTTGATTAATATTTTCCCATCGAAAACTATTTTATGGTAGTTTGTTTCAGACTTATACAATATTTGGACCCAATTCTAATTGGTTAAGCGGCTTATTTACCGAAAATTACTTTAATCTAATAAAAAAATACTGACTTGAAAAATGGTAGAAACTCAATTCCTATTTATTTATTATCTACCACTGTGACTTAACTTTACATTATTCATATTCAAACGAAAATCATTTTTTACATTAACTTCTCCAATATTAAGTTTTAAAAAAAAAAGTTAGAAAGAGCTGCAAATTTTAAGGTTTTTTAATAAAATATTAGTCACCACTTTCTCAATTTTTAGTTGCCAGTGTTAAAAAAGAAATAGTTGAATAGTGAAAGAAATAGTTAAAAAAGTTGCTTCTCTTTTTAATTAACCACCACTTCTTGCATTTGTAGTCACCTGTGGCGTCCCTAAGTATAGAGAACATAGGTTTAATATAGTTTATAGGTTTAATATGGTTTGGTAGTCGTAAACCCGAAAAATTGGTCGGCTGTTCAACGACGGTTATAAAATAAAAATTAATAAGGTTGATTTTTAATAATACAATTTTAGAAACTTAACAATTATTTAAAAAAACAACAACATGATTTTCTTGTTTTGCAGAGCTTTTTAACAGGCGCTAAATTATTATTACTGTTGAAATCCATAATAGGCTCAATCCAAAAATATAGGCTCAAAGAGCAACGCCCGAATACACGAAATAAGAAAACGCATTAAATATGATCACTAAAACATAGCACAATAAAAACGAAAAGAATAAAAAGAAAAGAGAGAAAAACGAAGAAAATTGATAAGTTTTATTAACTGCGCATAAGCTGCGAGTATATAGAACTTATAAAATAACTTAAAATATGGAGAAAACATGGAAAGTAATAAAGATGAATGAAAAGAGAGAAATGAGAAAAGAGAGAAATGAAAAGAGAGAAGAAAATTATTAAAATTACTGTAATCGTATAAAAAAAAATAAATACTGACTTGTTTAGAAAACACTCATTTTAACGTAATTTTGAGGATAGAATTAAATTTATAATTTTCCTTCAAATCCATAATAGTCTCAAAGTTTCAACGCCCGAACACACGAAATAAGAAAATACATTAAATATGATCACTAAAACTTAGCACAATAAAAACAAAAGGATAAAAAGAAAAGAGAGAAAAACGAAGAAATTTGATAATTGATTAACTGCATAAGCTGCAAGTATATAGAACTCATAAAATAACTTAAAACATAGAGAAAACATGGAAAGTAATAAAGATGAATGAAAAGAGAGAAATGAGAGAATGAAAAGAGAGAAATGAGAAAAGAGAGAAATGAAAAGAGAGAAGAAAAATTATTAAAATTACTGTAATCGAATAAAAAAAAAATAATACTGACTTGTTTAGAAAGCACTCATTTTAACGTAATTTTGAGGATAGAATTAAATTTATAATTTTCTTTCCAGTGGAAAATATCATTCACCAATACTTTCGCCAAAACACGTTATTCGTTCATTTGGTGAATGCTTAGCGCGGGTCCAGGTACTCAGAAATCGAAAGTTAAAACAGTAGAACAAAGGTTTTTCGATATACCACTAAAGTTTTGTGAGTTTATGTGAAGCTATATATTCGTTGTAACATTGTCATGTAACGGGCACAGCAATTGGGTGTATATTTCTGCGTTAAGTCCGCCCTCGGGTCTGGCAATTTTAAAGACCGCTTCCAATATGGTTGATGGCAATGAATTTCGAAAGATACCCCTGAATGATCAGTAATCATATAATAAATAGCTAACTGTGAGCGCAAAATATAATGCTGCATCAAAAAATAAGTAACTGCGAAAATAGGACACCCTCTTAATGTGCCTTTTGATTTGGAAGAATAGAAATTCGAATTAAGAGTGGGCGTTTTCTTACAGTTATCCATATTTGGGGGTGGTCACACGAGATATTTGTAGACTCATTATTATACTGCGCACTACACCTCATTAATTTAAAGATAATGTTTTAATCCAGTGAGGCAATGATCTAAATCAAAATTATTTATTTCCATAATATAATCATGTGAATTTGCATCTCCAGAAACTTATGTGAACTTTTTTCTTTTTCGAGAAGCATATAAGGCACCATAAAGTGGCAGATCATCATTATACAGTATACTCTGTAACACTCAGTGGCAAGAAAAACTATATTTTCTTTTACAATTGTAATAAAGTAGTTATAATAAACTACAACTACTTTTTAAAAAAAAAAATGTAGCTACTACCAACTACTTTCGAAATGTAGTCAGTACTTCGCTACTTTTAGAAGGCAAACTTAACTTAATAACTTAACTGGAGAACTACAATAGTTCCGCTACATTCGACCTCTGCTCTTTAATTAAAAAAGTTTAAACTTTTCTCCGATTTGTTATGTATATATTAAAGCTAAAATAAAGCAATAATTTTTTTAAAACCTTACCACTAATATTTAGTATAATTATTTGAAACTATATATATATACATCGTGAATAGAAACAACTGGGCATGTCAACTGTATATATTTCTGCCTCTTGACCGCCTGTGGGATCGGCAAAACAGATGACCACCTCCTCAAGGAGTTGTTGGCAATGAATTACATAAGACTCATTTTATGATTAGCTAATTATTGAATGCTAAATAAAACATTACTATTAAAATAAGAAACAAGCAGAAGTACACTACATTGACGTGCCTTTTTTAAAAATGGAACGACGAACTAAGAGTAGGCGTTCCCGATGTGCAGTTTATGAAATTTGGGTTACGGTTAACACTTATTTTTTTAACAAAAAAATTCTACCCCTCGAAATTATTTACAGCTTTCCGGAGTAGAGATGGGTCAAAAGTAACGTAGCCATTCAATGTGACAATCAAGAAATCAGAAATAAACAACACATCAACAATAATTTACAAATGAAAATTTTAAGAAATGTGCGTAAATATTTTAAGTATTTTTTTAATTTTTCTTTTATCGTGTCCATGGACAATTAAATGGCCTCGTGTGCCTTCAAAACAACATCCGCAAGCTCCAATACATCATTACTGTAACACGAAGTTCTGAAGCCAGTGGCACCATACCCAGTTGTAAAACATATGGGGTGCATCCGGGCCCAATACACACAGCAAGAAAAATTCAGATATACAGCAAGAAAAATTTGCAATGAATTTCGCGGGGCATGACATATACTGTAGTGTATATATTGTGCAACTATTGAAAGCCCGAGCATAATTTCGGCATTTTGTTAAGATACAAATTCACTATTTATTGATGATTTGTTTGATGGTTACACCATCTACATTGCTATTGATTACAAATACAGAGTCGTCAGAGGAATGATTGGATGGCAAACGCAATTTTTTATTAGATATTTGTAAGTCCAATGCTTCCATCATTTTCCCTTCATTCTGATAAAAATATGAAAGCAACACTCTTTCCAGAGCCGTGAAAGGAGATTCAAACAGCAAGTAGCAAGCACACGCCAAAGTGAAACCAATAACAACGTTGCCGCAGTACATAAATATCTAAAATAAAGAATTTATAACAATTAGAAACAAGTTTAAGAATCAGTGGCGTAGCTACCAAGGGGCTAGGCGGGGCAGTGCCCCGGGGCCCTCAAGCTTAGGGGGCCCTCGAATCCTTACCAGAAATCTCAATCGAACTGAACTTTTGGAAATTTCTCCCATTTTCAAAATAAATATGACAGGTTGCAACCCCACTTTAATCATGACAACTCAGTTGAGAGAAATTCAAAAGTTATGCCTAGGCAATTCCCCTAAATTCTTTCTGTAGGTTGGCAGTGTTGTCAATTTGACGGATAGTGATATGTGCGTTTTATTATTCATCGATGTGCGTTTTATTGTGAACTCGAATTAAGATTTTTTTTCGAGAACGGTTAAAAAATTAATGTATCAGGAGTAAGTAAGCTAATGTCAATAAATTTTTTTGTACTGGTCAATATAGTGGTTCAATTTTATTTGATTTTACCACTCATATTGATCTCCGTTAAGTCAATAAATCGTGTCAAATCTACAGATTTCGGCTACAGCTCATTGTATAACGCGAAATATCGTGAAAAAATGCAAGTCACCTGCAGTAGGCACATTAATTTAAGTCCGTGGGCAGGAGATCGTTCATGGTCTGTGTAATGCCTTTCCTTTCCAATAAATAAGCAGACCAGATTTTTAAAACAATAAAACTTAACTTTATTTAAAAACAAAAGAAATAGGCATTGTTTTCCAGTAAGAGCTTCCAGCTCTTAGAAGACCAAGGAAACCCTCTCCCGATTATATCAAACATACATCTACCTTTCTCTCTCTCGCATCCCTCCGACGGGATGACAAAATGCGCCAAGTGCGCCTTAATAGATCGCCTAACAGTTGCCAACCATTACAGTCTCCACCGTTAAATGTGGTAACACTAACGGTGATAACTGTTTTCCGGGGATTCCCCAACGAGACTTGTAGCGTATCATTGCGTTTCTCTTTCCTTTTATTTTACTTTTAACGTCGTCAGTGAACAGTGAGTACCTACCTACTCGAGCACAATCTAATATTGTATTGTTTAAATAAATCAGAAAACTAAAATTATGGATAAAAAGAAGAAACCCAGTGGTGCATTTAAACGCAAACAACGCCAAGAAAGAGAAGATAGTAAACAAAAATTGCCCAAAATTGACAAGTTTTTTTGTCAGCCTTCTGCAACTACATCTGGCCAAAATATTTCTATTGATAGTGACTCAAATAATGTGGTAACTGCAGTGTTGGTTGAGAAGCCTACTGAAGAAGATTCGACAATTATTGCAGTTGGAGATACCCCCGCCGCCGATCATGTGAACGTGGATGATGTTTGCATGACACGCATTAGAGCGGAGGGTTTGGAGGAACCACAGACCTCTACATTTTTCGAAAATGTGTACGACAAATCTTCTTATGACTTGGGAAACTTCCCGAACAAGATATTAAGTGATAACGAAAAACGTCAAATTCTTGATATGGGGCCTTTACAGCCTTCAGGACCTTTTCCAACAGACATCAACCAGAACAATAGGTGTTTTTCAAAATCGTACTACGTTTCGTGTTCTAAATATGGGCCAGTTAATCGTTTTTGGTTGTGTTATTCCAAAATACTAGACGCTGCCTATTGTCAACCCTGCTGGTTATTTGCTTCACAAAGGAATAATGTTTGGTGTACGGGAATTCGAGATTGGAAGCATTTATCAGAAAGAATTAAACAACACAGTTGTTCGAGTGGCCATTCGGAAGCATGTGCTGTGTATGAATTTTGGAAAAAAAAA